CCCCCCCCCCCCCCCAACCATTTATCAATTACTGAATTCACTGTAAATCGATGCCAGTCGCAACTCCCCCCCCCCATTGGAAAAAATAAATACATACATACACAAATCTTCGCAAGAAAACTGATCCATTCACGAAAAATACATTTGAAATCCCGTTGTCTTTAAATGCTAACTTTCAATCGGCTCAAAATAGACTTAAACAATTATAGGTGGTTTCAAAAAAATGCGTTTGGTAGAAAAGAGATAGTTGAACGATGAAATCGATAAAAGGGTTTGATTTCTCGCACTATCAATTAAAAGGCGTTCCATCGATTCTTTTTACAAATTAAGGAGAGATGAGAAGGCATTGGCAAGCTGATCAACAAAAACATGAAAACAATTTTTACCAACTTGTAGATGCCAATGACCATGCCAGGTGAGAATGGTCGTTAAACTTCATGAATAAAAATCATCTGGACTATTAATAACAATAGGATTAGCTAAGCCCTAATTCAACTTGGAATTGATTTTCTGCCTCTTACTCTTTATGTTCCTTCTATTACCCAAGACCGGAGTGTAATTGCTTCCTTATGTGGGCCAGATATTTCAAAATGATTAAACCTAGCAAAACTTTTTTCTGCTTTACCAGTGGAAATAAATTCACAAAAAATGCTTTTCTCACCACGACTACATCCACGTCCGTACTCTGGCTGCGAACCTCCTCGTATTGGAAAAATAATCCAAATGGTTGCAATTTGCCCATCTCCAGTCGCCGAATCTCCCGACTCTCGTCGACAATCGATTGAAGAACACATCGAACGCGTAATTCTGTGATATCCGATTCCAACACATCTCGAATATGCAACTCTGGATACCGGGTAGCATTTATCACGGAGAATCTATCCTCTACAATGCCAATATCAACCGAGTAGTTTTGAAATATAGTACACACGCAGCAAAACTGAAGACTACTCCAAAACAAATCAGTAGAAGATTAGCTTACTTGAATGGGTCACAGTTGCAATAAGAGAGTCATTTCGGAAGACCTCCCAGTACTTGACCTTGAGAAATCGATTGAAGATCTCCTGTTCGGGCTGGCATCGAATCACCGCTTTTTGACCGGGTTTTACAGGGAATGTGTGGTACTTAATTCGCAGATTTTCATCCGGTACGGGGACTTAAAAAAAACATAAAGCCACAGTATTGCCTTGCATTGATTAACTCAACTAAATAGTAAGCGTGGTATTCTCACCCTGATGAATAACCATTTTGCGAGATCGAGTGCGACCTAGACTATTCTCGGCCTGGCAGAAAAAGATCATTCGAAGCGTTGATGAACGTGGGGTTGCAGTGAAATTTAGCCACCCATCACCGATCACATATTGATTGGGGTACATTACCGGAGTGGCTATTGATCCGATGGGGACAAGACCTCGAGAATTTGGATCGTAGAGATGAAAGTCATCTGGCGCTGCACCTCGCAATCTACTATCCACCGAGTGGCCGTCGCTGAAGAAACAGAAGGATACTACTCATAAGGGCAAGTGTTTAGATAAAGAAAATCAATAAAGCATACCTGTGCACATGGTTTTGGCACTCAGCTAACACAACTCAAAGTGGGACAACTAAGCGATCTTATATGCGAAGCGAATTATGTATCACTCATCATAGTTTCTGACCTCTTCCAAGTTGATTGGGGATTTGTAACTTGAATTAAGAACATGGAAACTTCAATTGGTTTACAATTGAAAAGTGGATTATACAGGACTCAAGTGAGCCCCTTTTTACCCCTTAATTGAAGAGACTTATTAAATTACATTCAAGTCTTGTGACTTCGGAGTGTAATTGCACTAGTAATTTAGACGCATGGGATGGTTAGGCATCGCATCGAACCATCAAGGTTTTCCGTTAATGCCCCAATACAAGGACACCCTTAAGGAGGACACGAAAGCTCTAATCTTTAAACCCGACAAAGATGGGTGACATTACATTTTCTTTGATCACTTTTTGCGCACTCGTATAATTTAATAAACAGAGAATGCCCCCAGACACTTGGCCCTTCTATTAGTAAGCTATCAAAAGTAGTTGCGGCAAATAGACTCAAAAAATGTGGTTGTTATGGGGGCTACGTTGGGACAGACAATCTAATGGCCTGGAATTGGACTTTAGAAAGCCCTGGTTTTACGATGGGCAACATTATTATTATTATTATATCAAATGGCAGGCGTTTTGATTGTACACTCAATGAGCAGTTGACCTCAAACTACCATGACCCCACGATGGGCAACATAATAAGAGGTAAATTCTAATTGGGTGAGATAATGCAATATAAGATGTCAATACAATTTTCTTTTTCTACAATTATTGCAGAGCTTCAATTCTTCAAATTCATACATTTTCTACAAGGATGCGGATTTATTTCTTGAAAAAAAAACACAATTAAGAGAATAAAGCTAAGAAAATGAATAAACTTTGAATTAGATAAAAACAATAGCAGAACAACAACGGTCGCATTTTTCACAAATCCACGCATTTCTTCGATGAATATCCGAATAAAAACTGGCAAGTGAAAGTAAA